AACACTAATGCATTTTCTTATTTTAAGTATGTTATCGAGTTATTTTATTTTAAGAGTAAAAAGTCGTCATTCCATTGGCGAAACATCTGGTTTTTCCAGTGAGCAAACCTGTTTGCTCATCTCTCAGCTTGTGTTTCTTCTTATCCTTTCATTTCGCCCTGATCTTTACTTTCTCTTGTCTCATCTTGCAGCGTCTCGCCCTCCTTGTTGTGAGGAAAAACTCTCCTGTTCACCTGACTGTTCCGGGGGGGGGATCATGGTAATCTCAAGCCGATTAGGCCTCTTATCTGCTCAGCTCTGGTTATGTGCTTTGGTCCAACAAAAATACTGAGCAGAGTTGGCCTCCTTACCGTTCCTGCAGACTCTTCCCCCCCACGTGCTCTCAGTAAGTCATGCCGGCTTTGATATCAGGGCCTCTCATTCCTCATGGTGGGAGTTTGTATGAAATGTGGCTTTCAGCTCAGATGCACATGATATTAGAGGCTTGAGTGTGAAGAGGATGGATAAACACGGCCACGCTGGTCATTATCTATCAATATGTGGGCTCAAAGGATCATGGGTAAGTTATTTGCATGCTGTGAAGTCAAATCTCAAGCTGCAGCGGATCTGAGGCCCGATACGCTTCAAAATCAAGAGAGGCGGAATCCATACACTGGAAAAAATTGAAATTTTTTCTTAAAATAAGTGCATTTGTTCTTGAATTGAGGAGGAAAAAGAGACATTTTGCCAATGGAAAAAGACAATTTACACTTAAAATAAGAAAATACAATTGCATTGTCTTATTTCTAGTGCATTTTATCTAATTATCTTATTTTAAGAGTAAAAATACTCATTCCATTGGCAAATTATCTCGTTTACCTTACTTATATCTAGATCGTTTTTCCAGTGTATTGTAGGTTTTTCACTCTAAATTGACCAGTAGTGGTACACTGGAAAAAAAAAATCTAAAAATAAGTAAAAATTTCTTAAATTAAACGTATTTAACCTTAATTTGAGCAGGTAAATGAGATAGTTTGCCAATGGATTGAGTATTTTTACTCTTAAAATAAGAAAATTAGATAATATGCACTTGAAATAAGACAATGCAATTGTTTTTTTCTTATTTTAAGTGGAAATTGTCTTGTTCCATTGGCAAAATGTCTCTCACTGCAAAAATGACCTAGAAATAAGTAAAAATTTCTTAAATTAAACGTATTTAACCTTAATTTGAGCAGGTAAATGAGATAGTTTGCCAATGGAATGAGTAATTTTACACTTAAAATAAGATAATTAGATAAAATGCACTTGAAATAAGACAATGCAATTGTGTTTTCTCATTTTTAGTGTAAATTGTCTTGTTCCGTTGGCAAAATGTCTCTTTTACCTCCTCAATTCAAGAAAAAATGCACTTATTTTAAGAGAAAATGACTCCCCTAGATTTAGATTTTTTGCAGTGCTTTTACCTCCGTAATCCAAGCACTTATTTTAAGAAAAAAATGACTTATTTAGATCTAGATTTGTTCCAGTGTGTGTTTACGCCGTGGGACGCTATCCTGCTCTGAAGCAGGACATGTGAAAAGTCATCCCATGTCCATGTGAAAGCAGTAATACCATAATTACCCTGATCCTATTGCCTTAATCAGGATCCCTGCAGCACTCACAGCATGGCTTCCCCACTGATCCCAGCGTTTCAAGGTCGGAACGAAACACCAAACCCTTATTCCACCATCAGATCACATCTCTACAATCCTTTATTCATATTCACATTTTTTTTTATCATATCTACACAAACTTACAAAGCCAAAAATAGAACTTGGAAACAAAAAAAAGAGCAGATTTAACATAGAATAATTCAACGTTTAACTTAATTAGATGTTTTTTCTTTTAAAAAAGTAGAATCTTTTCTATACTATTTACAAAGAAGCAGGTGTTACAATATACATACATACAGAATGTGTCATAGAGATGGAGGACAGCAGTCAGGAGGGCAAATTTTAGCTGCCAATTCACTTTAAAATGCATCACTTTAGGCTCACCTCCTGATTTCCTCTCATCAAAGCTCCAAACATTCACACCTTTAACCGTGCAACTCAAACAGCTGATGTCTGCAGAGGCCATAGTTACGCCGTTTAGACCATCTTAATGTCATAGAAATCTAAAAAAACTACAAAAACCCCAAAGAATGAATCCAAACCCTGGAGCAAAGTTGGACTTTAGCTTTAAGACTGAATAATCCTTTACACTCTATGTGAACAGATCTATAATATCAATAATTTCATAATCAGTCTGTTCATAAAAAAAAGAAACATTATACAGATGTGGATGTATTTAGATTATCTGTGAAGAGCCTTAAAATGCATTAAAGGTGATGCCTACAAGTCTAGATCCTCCTGGCCAGTAGGTGGCGCACTTCCTGCTTCTTAAAGGAAAAGTCAGTTCAGCAAAGAATAATCAATGGATCATTATTTATACCTAAAACTATTATGCTTGCAGTGATTTAATGAATTTAGCGTTAATTGGTTAAAAATATATATTTTCGACGCGATCACTGAGTCTGGAAGCGGCCATTTTTGTCCAAATATAGTAGCCCCTCCCTCCTGCCATCTTGACGTGACGTCACGGTGCGGTAAGCCTAGCGCCATTCTCCCCGCTTTACAAGCTAAATCAATGGGAACTACTAGACACATCTGCAATCAACAACAATTATTGAAGATTTCCAGAGGACTTCACCATTGAAATTCACCAGAGCTATAGTGAAACTGACAATGCCCACGTGCATGGCAGCTGGATGCTGGAATACATCGGGTAAAAGTGGAAAAAAGAGTTATTCCACCTTTCTGATTCCTGATCCTCCACGGATCAGGAAAAAACCCGTAATATGTAGCCAACATTTGGAAGAAGAATGTTTTCAAGATGACTTGGATAAAGCCGGGCGTACACTGTACGATTTTTTCAATTGTTGCACTCAGGGTTTCGTCGTACATTGTGAGTACACAGCTCACGATGTTTGTTCTCACGCTCTGATGCGATCTACCTGCTCACACTGTACGTCTAAAAACCAGGTGGGACTCAGCTCCGCAGTGAGATGGCGCTACTCGGACTCGTCTATCTGGAAGCCAAACCAGTAGAAGAGGAACATGAAGCTCACTAGAGGGAAACGCGCTGCCTTGGATATTTGGGTGACTTAGTGCTGAAAGCCCTAAAAAGAAAAGGAGACGACGTATTTGGACAAAGACATGGCTGAGCTAACGTGGCTACTACGGTCTGTCAATCTGACAGAAATAACTCCATTTCACTCATTGCCCCCCCACCATGCTGCTAGGTTTTCATCTGAGAGGAAGAAGAAGAAGAATCCTTGTTCGCCCAGTGAGAGATTTGCCCACGACCACCTTACGACGGTCGACTGCATTTCAAACATGTTTGATTTTCTCCAGACCTCACGATTCCTGACGGGGAGGAGGTCGTTAGAGGCTGATTGACCCTCGTTACCCCCTGTTCACTACACCACGCACCATCAGGCTGAAAGTCGGCCCAATCAAAAAACTCTCGCACGACTGGAAAATCGGCCCTAAAAGGGCAAAAAATCGTACAGTGTACTCCCGGGTTAATAGCGCGTTGTGACAAACACCAGATACAGCACTGGGACTTGATCAACAGCCGATACCGCACCGTGACAATGTCACTAACCAGTAGGTGGCAGTAGTGTTCTTTGACAAACATGGATGCCTCCAGTAAAGCACATTCACATGAAAATTACTCTGAATTAAAAACACTGATCATTTATTGAACAGGGTGGAATCATTTCACATTTAAAGAACTTTCAGAAGTTTTGATTCTGAATATGAGCGACTTTTCCCTTAAAGCTGTGACCTGTTGGCTTTGCTTCTTTTATAGAGCTGCTGGGATCAGATCTGACTTTCACTTCATTTTTCAATATTTTATTGAAACAATTATGTATTTTGTTTTTTTCTTTAGTAAAATTAATGTATTTATTCTGCTCCACTTTGGATGTTCTGTAGATGAATCTATTTTTATTTATAAATTTGAATATAAAGTTGTAATAATACCACTTATACTTCAGCGATAGTATCAAGGCTTTACTTTTTTTTGTATTTCTTAAACTATATCATTGCGTTGTTCTTTTTCCATCTCTTTGAAGGTGATGAAACAGACTGAAGATGTTTTATAGTTATCTCCCTTTAATCTCTTTCTTTCTTTCTTTCTTTCTTTCTTTCATCTTTTCTCCTTTTTTTCTTACTGTGCTGCTGCCTCTCGGCCAGGTCTCCCTCCAAAAAGAGATTTTATCTCAAGGGACTTCCTGGTAAAATAAAGGTTAAATAAAATAAATAAAATTTCTGTTTTTCCTTTCCTGTTCTTCTTTCATTGCAGTGTCCATATAATCTGTAAAACGCCCTGCATAAATAAAATAAAGCTTTTTATTTGCATAAATGAAGCGGATCACCATGGCGATAGCCATACTGCTCCACTTGTGAAAGGAAAATCTGTTGGGCTCTTTTTGGCATCAAGACAATTATTCTTATTGCCACGTCGCCAGACAGGACATTGTTAAATAAAAAAAAATAAAATTTTTTTTATAAAGCTGGAGCTGTGGTCTTTAATAAATTATTGTGTAAAACTTTTTTGGAAATCCAACTTTTATGACCAGTTAAATATTTAGTTAAAAAATAAAATAAAATTTTACTTTAAGAAATATTGTTTTTTTCCCCAAAATGTGAAAGTTTTGTGAAAGCTAAACATCTAACATGTATTTACATAATTTGATCAGTTTTTTTATTGATGCGTGACCTTCTGCTTCCCTGCGACACAATGACCCATTTCTCTTAGGCACTCTGCAAATGGGAAAGACAAGAGAACGTGCCGGAAGTGTGTGGATCCTCAGAAGTCAGGAAAAATACTCACCTCGACTCACCGACATCTACAGAATAAATTCAAACATCCTACGCTCACTGAGGCCATGAAAAAAAAAACCTACAAGATGGCGTACGCTAACCTTCCCGCCAACTTTAGATGCCAGATGTGACCAAAAAAGCTATTTCTAAGAATAAATGTACTGAACACCACCTGATTCCCTGTGTTAAGCATGGTGGAGAATCTGTCATGCTGTGGGCCTCCTTCTCCTCCTGGATAGAGGTTAAAGTCTGACACAGATCAGCAGGATGAAGGATGAACAGCAGCTCATGAGTTCAGTGTCATCAGACTCTGCAGGGATGCAAACAATTATTTCTAAATTTTCTCCATCTGTATTGAAATTAGATAAATTTCTTTATTTTGCAAAATTGCCAATGTGAAAATGTGCTGCAGCAATAAAAAACTCTCAGATTTGAAATGACGTGTTTATCGGGATTGGCAACGTATTTGGCCTCGTCTGCAGGTGAGCTGTAAGCTAGAAAAGTCTGGTAGAAAACGTTCCTCTTCACTTCAGGGTTGGAAGGTTTACAGTTTCCGCAGGTGGGCGGGGCTTGCTCAGCTGACGGTAGCCACGCCCTCCTCGCCCCCTTCCTCCACCTTCGCCCCTTTGCCCATGGATTTCATCTTGGCCATGATGTCGGTGAACGTCTCCTTCACCGTCTTCTCCAGGAGGAAGCCCTCGCTCTCGCTCTCTATGTCCTCTGGGTTGGACAGCGTGGACAGAGACGTGTCCACGTACTGCAGGCCCACGGTCACAGCAACCTGCAGAGGGTTCAGAGCACCACTTAGGCTGAGTCTGTCTAATAACACAGATCTATATATATGTGTGTAAAATGGGGCGGATTTATTAAATCTGGGGCCCTAGGGAAAGACAGGCAGGGGGCCCCCTGAGCTGAGAAGACATCAAACAGCCCCATTCTCCAGATAGAGAAATGTTAATAGAATAGACATCCATTATCTGTTCTAGGTTGTGTCCCTCTCTTCTTGTCCCTTTTCTTCTTGTTTTCCTCTCTATGTTTTGTACTCAGCTGACTTTTCATGCTGTCTCTAAAGGAATGAAAGATTTTTTCCAAGCACTAAGCTCACTTAGCTGATTGCTCCTTCCTGTGTTTCCAAAAAGGCCAAAGTAAATAACCCAGTCCTTCTTTTCACTGTAGACAAGCCATGATCTGCTTATTTATGGGGCGCCGTTTGTAAAGTTAGGCTGTCAATAATTAGGAGAGATATTTATGGTTAAAACACTGGAAAAAATCAAAATCTGGATAAGTCATTTTTTCTTAAAATAAGTTCATTTCTTCTTAAACTGAGGAGATTAAAGAGACACTTTGCCAATGGAACAAGACAATTTAGATTTAAAATAAGAAAACACAATTGCATTGTCTTATTTCAAGTGCAAATGATCTAATTATCTTATTTTAAGGGTAAAAATACTCATTCCATTGGCAAATTATCAAATTTACCTATTCAAATCAAGGGTAAATACACTTAATTTAAGATATTTTTACTTATTTCTAGATCATTTTTGCAGTGTAAGCGTGTTTGAAGGGAAAAATAAGGGGTTTATTTTTCCCCAAAGTCATTTTTTCACTGTCATTCATTCATTTATAAAAATCTTACTTTGATAAATAAATATTTAGTTTGCAGCTAAATACACTGCAAAAAATGGAAATCTAAATAAGTCATTTTTGCTCAAATTAAGTGCATTTTTTTTCTTGAATTGAGGAGGTAAGTGAGACACTTTGCCAATGGAACAAGACAATTTACATTTAAAATAAGAAAAAAAAAACAATTGCTTTGTCTGTTTTCAAGTGTATATTATCTAATTATCTTATTTTAGGAGTAAAAATACTCATTCCATTGGCAGATCATCTTATTTACCTGCTCAAATTAAGGGTAAATACACTTAATTTAAGACATTTTTTTACTTATTTCTAGATGTTTTTTGCAGTGTATTTAGCTTGTTAAATAAACATTTACAATGGAAAAAATCGAAATCTAGATAAGTAATTTTTTCTTAAATTAATTGCATTTTTTCTTGAATTGAGGAGGTAAAGAGAAACTTTGCCAACGGAACAAGACAATTTACATTTAAAATAAGAAAACACAATTGCATTGTCTTATTTCAAGTGCATATTATCTAATTATCTTATTTTAAGAGTAAAAATACTCATTCCATTGGCAGATAATCTCATTTACCTACTCAAAATAAGGGTAAATACAATTAATTTAAGAAATTATTACTTATTTCTAGATATTTTTTCCAGTGTAGCTTCAAACTACATATTTAGTCTGCAAATTACACTGGAAAAACGATCTAGAAATAAGTTAACATTTCCTAAATTAAGTTTATTTTCCCTTAGTTTTAGTAGGTAAATTAGATAGTTTGCCAATGGAATGAGTATTTTCACTCTTAAAATAAGATAATTAGATAATTTGCACTTGAAATAAGACAATGCAATTGTGTTTTCTGATTTTAAGTGGAAGTTGTCTTGTTCCATTGACAAAATGTCTCTTTTACCTCCTCAATCCAAGAATAAATGCACTTATTTTATGAAATCTAGATTTAGATTTTTTCCAGTGTAAATATTTAGCTCCATACTTAATATATAGTTTGTTAAATGATAATTTAGCTTAAAATTAAATATTTATTTAACAAACTAAATATTTACTAATATGCAAATTGACTTGCTGAAAAGCGGAGGTGAACTACCAAAATAAAAGCCTGGGAATATCTAAACATTTCCTACTACAACATTATACAGATGTGGACACATTCAGATTAGCTGTGAAAAGGTTAGTTTGTTAAAATATTTATTTACCAAACTAAATATTTAGTTTACTTGGTTTGGAGATAAGTTTTTATTTAACAAACTGAATATTTTATTTGCAAACTAAATATTTATTTAACAAAGTAAGATTTGTAAATGAATGACTGACATGGTGAAAAAATTAGTGGAAAAAATTAAACCGCTTATTTTTCTCTTAAAACACGTTAAATAACCATAAATATCGCTCCTAACATTTTCATTTGGATGAAATAATAGCTGCATGAATCATGACAGCAGACAAGATAGAGGAGAGCAGGAGGCGGGGTTACCAATCTACTCGCTCTGGAGAGCAGAGTTCGCTGATGTTGTCTCCAAAGTCTCCAGTAGCAGAAAAAAGTCTCTAGATTTGGCGCTAGGAGCTTTTTAGAAATCAAAGTGCTAGAGGGGTCTGAAAAGTGGCTAAATATAGCGACTAAAGCGCTAAGTTGGCAACACTGCTCTTTGCATGGTTTGTTTTCAAATGGTTTGCTGCTGTCTGTTTGGACCTTTCTGAACATGTGCAGCAAATGGACTGATCCAATATGGTGGATGTGCACAAATAAGGAATAGTTGTATTAACCACAGTGTTGTATAAAGTACTGAAATCTCGGAGTCCAGTAAAAGTATAAGTACTTCTCCAAAATATGACTTTAGTAAAAGTCCAAATCACTGACTGAAAGTAAAGTATCTGAAACGGTTTGTACTTAAGTATAAGAATTACTGTAAAAATAGATAATAGTACTCAAGTAATGTAGTGAATAGTATAAGTAAAAGTAGTGCAGTTTGAATGACATTTTCTTTTAACATTTTAAAAAACTTTGAAGATTAAATTCACTTAAAATAATATAAACAACCAAGTGTAGGATAAATTTAGACTGGCTTTGCCAAACAGGCGTATCCTATTGGTGTTGATGAACGAACCCAGGCAAGACACGACTTCGTAGTCAGTAGGGGGGGTCAAAACACTGGCGTTTCTCTCGCTCGTTTTTTATTATTATTTTTTACTTAGTAACTAAACCAAACATTGAAAAAGTATCGGAGTAAAAATATGCAATTAAATTTGTAAATGTAGTGAAGTAAAAGCGAAAGTTCTCAAAAAAATCTACACTCTTGGAAAGTATAAAGTACTCCAAAAAATACTTAAGTACGGAAGTGAAGTATTTTTACAGCACTGATTAACCATACATGTAAACAGAGTTTTTTGGGGCCCCCAGGAACTTGGGGTCCTAAGCAGCTGTCTAGTATTGCCTAATGGTAAATCCCCCCCTCTGTGATGAAACATGGAGGCTTTTTTTTGCACAAAAAGGGTTTTTCAAATGTAAGATCCACAAACTGATTAACAACAAACTGGATGTTTAATGAAGACACTAAAGGAAATCCAACCTTAAAGAAGTAGGAGGTTAATAATTAGAAGTTATTCGAGGAGGATTCAGGCGGTCGCCATCTTTTCCAGCTCCTGCAGATTAAGCCGTGACTCCATCTCTGAACCCAGAGCGGAGACGGTTGCGCAACTTTCTGAGCATGTGACTGATAAGCTAAATCTGTGTTTTTAGGACAGGAGATCTGCAGGATTTAAAGCGCAGAGATATTATCCAAACGGCTCTGTTGACTGTCTTCTTCTGCTGATGATTCACAGATATTTTCAGGATTTATCTTTATGAATTCATCACAGAGCAAAAGACAACTATGGCCTCTGTGACGACATAAGAAGGCAGCAAACCCAGAGGAGGCTGGATGCTTAATGGCTGCTGCAGATTACAGCAGCTGGTGTTTCTAGGAAAGCCAGCAGGTAAATTGGATGAAGGTGTTTTTGGAGGAGAAGCAGAAAAGCGTCTCTACAGGAAGAAGAGGCAGATGACTCATAAACATGACCATCAACCCTTTTGGTGTTGAAATTATGGTGCTAATTAGATTTTCCTTTGTACTAACTTCAAGGTACTACACTGGAAAAAAATCTAGATAAGTCACTTTTCCTTAAAATAAGTGCATTTGATCTTGGATTGAGGAAATAAAAGAGACATTTTGCCAAAAAAGAACCAAGATAATTTACATTTAATATAAGAAAACACAATTGCATTGTTTTATTTCAAGTACATGTTATCTAAATATCTTATTTTAAGATTATAAAATACTCATTCCATTGGCAAACTATCTGATTTACCTGCTCAAATTAAGGGTAAATACACTTAATTTAAGAAATTTTTGCTTATTTCTGCATTGTTTTTCCAGTGTACTACACTGAAAAAAGATGAAATCAAGATAAGTCCCTTTTCCTTAAAATAAGTGCATTTATTATTGGATTGAGGAGGAAAAAAAGAGACATTTTGCCAAAAAAGAACCAAGATAATTTACATTTAATATAAGAAAACACAATTGCAATGTCTTATTTCAAGTACATGTTATCTAATTATCTTATTTGAAGAGTAAAAATACTCATTCCATTGACAAAATACCTCATTTACCTGCTCAAATTAACGATAAATACACTTAATTTAAGACATTTTTACTTATTTCTAGATGTTTTTTGCAGTGTATTTAGCTTATTAATTAAAAATTTAGCTTCAAACTACATATTTAGTCTGCAGATTAAATATTTAGCTCCATGTTTTATATATAGTTTGTTAAATAATCATTTAGCTTAAAATTAAATATTTATTTAAAAAACTAAATATTTAGCTAATATGCAAATTGATTAAAAATATACATCTTGCCAATGGAGCAAGACCATTTACACTTAAAATAAGAAAACACAATTGCATTGTCTTATTTCAAGTGTTTTTTATCCAATTATCTTATTCTAAGAGTAAATATTCTTATTTCATTGGCAAAATATCTCATTTAACTACTTAAATTAGGGTAAATACGCTTAATTGAAATTTTTTTTTCTTATTTCTATATCGTTTTCCCAGTGAATGATCTAGAAATAAGTAAAAATTCTTAAATTAAGTGTATTTA